AAAATTTTCAGATTTTTGCATAAGCTATCAAATTCTTAACTCCTTCAAACATGGCTTTTACTGCACCGTTCTTGTGAACCATGTAACATGGCTCTTCTAAATCTAATAATCTTCTTTCTTATAATAATCTATCTGTGGTACTAACGAAACCCCCTTCCCTATGACAAATAATGTCGCCCCCCTCCAAAAAAAAACGGCCCATTTGGTCAACGTAACTAAAATAACCCCCCTTGCCTAGGACCGTTTATGTCGCCCCCTCTCCCCCCCCGCCAAATCAGGCTGGAGTAGGCGGCTGTAAAAAGCATGACTATTGTGAAAGATTTTCAAGGAATTATTTACAAATAATGGCTCAGGACGTCTATGGGTTTTCGTTTGTACACGAAGATAGTGTGGAATCCCGTTTATTGACCTCCTTTCGCGTCTTTCTGCAGGCTGCTTTGAGAACGCAGTGAATCGCGGCTCGGAACTCCTTGATGGTATTTTTCTGCCTTTTACTCCACGGCAGATATACGTTTAATCGGAAAATGAATAATTAATGGAATTAGATACATAACTTGGAGCAACTCATATGCCTTAGTTTCACAAAAGTTCTTCTTGTTAAACGTCCCGCTCATATTAAATTTGGCCAGGAGGCGTTTGTCGAAGAGGAGGTTGATCATTCGGTTGACAAACACACGGGGCGTTTTCCCGCACTGCATCTGTAAGTATGCAACCTATATGTATTTGCAACAATAGTTAATAGCTATAGAAGTTCATACCGCCCGCTGCCAAAAATCAAGGTCGTGCAGCTTCCGCTCAAATAGTTCGAAATTTTCCATGCAACGGAAAAGGGCACGTATCTGCGTCTGACGTCTTCGTGTCGGCCGTTGCACCTGAGGTATTCGTGTTAGCCATTCTTGTAGGCCCGGAGAATGTACTCCTCTAACACGGCCAATCGATCATTCACCAGCGTTATGCCTGCGTTCAACCGAGAGACGAGGGCTGAAAAAAGGTATGGCTAACTGCAGTACTTACTGTACATGCGATTCTGCCAATCGACATCCGGCATTGCAGAGTTCCTCTCGGCCACCATGGGTTGTGATGTACTGGGTCGCTGGTTTTTTCCTTCTAAAGCAGGTCAATGGAACATTAGAACTTTAAC